AGTACTGGGGGAATTTATCAGCAAAAAAGCCATTCAGATTCCTATTTATAGTTTCTTTTTACCAATATTTTTGATGGTGTGCCTACTTTGCTAGAAAGTAGATTTGGAATATTACACATGGCTAAGTGAAAAATAATAGCAGGTAATCACCATACATTCTGGCAGGTTCAAATAGTATTACACCAGGTCTTGCTCTTAATGAGCATACATTTGAGTAGTAAATGATTAAGTGTATATCTCTTCCTCTGTATCTTTGGCTTTTTTTCCAAAGTAAGTTATTCTTTTGGTCAGACTTATTCACATAAAGAAGGTTGAATATGTTATTCTTAGATTTCTTATTAAGATTAATGTTTGAAAGAAAATATTACCCCCTGCTGCATGCACCGATGATTGGGGGGCCTGAGCCCAAGCTTGCCCAGTCCAGCTCCATTTGGCTTTGGCCCCCAACCAATAATGAGTAACAAGATTGAATCAACATCTCAACAAAGTCTCTCAACAAAGAAAAAGCCTGGACCAGATGAATTCACAGCCGGATTGTACCAAATGTACAAAAAAGAGCTAATACCAATCCTCCTGAAACTGTTCCCAAAAATTCAGAAGGGGGGAGTTTCTCTAAGTCATTCTACAAGGCCAGTGATACCTGATACCAAAACCAGACAAGGACACAACAACAACAACAACAACAAACCACAGACCAGTAGTTCTGATGAAGATAGATGCAAATATCCTCAACAAAATACCAACAAACTAAATGCAACAGCACATCAAAAAAATAATATCATGATTAAGTAGATTTTATACAAGGGATGAAAGGATGATTTAATACATGCAAAGCAATAAATGTGATAAATCACATAAACAGAGACAAGGACAAAAACCATATGATTATCTCAATTGGTGCAGAAAAGCATTTGATAAAATTCAACAGACTTTCATAATAAAAACCCTCAACAAACTAGGAACATAAGGAATGTACCTCAAAATAATAAAGTCTATTTATGACAAACCTACAGCTAACATCATACTGAATGAGGAAAAGTTGAAAGCGTTTTCTCTAAGAACTGAAACAAGACAGGGATGCTCACTCTCATTATTCCCATTCAACATAGTAGTGGAAATTTTACGTAGAGAAATCAGGCAAGAGAGGGAAATAAAGGCCATCCAAATTGGAAAAGAGAAAGTGAAATTATCCCTGTTTGCTTATGATATAATCTTATTTCTAGAAAAACCTAAAGAATTCACCAAAACCTCTTAGATTTAATGAATGAATTCAGTAAAGCTGCAGGATATAAAATCAACATAAAAAATCAGTAGCATTTCTATACAGCAATAACTGTCTAGCTGAGAAACAAATCAAGAAGGCAGTCTTGTTTGCAATAATTACCAACAAAATTTAGGCACACATTTATTAGCCAACGAGGTGAAAGGTATCTCTAAGGAAAATGACAAAAGGCTGATGAAAAAATATTGTGCATGACACGAAAATGGAAAAACATCTCATGCTCATGGATAGAAAGAATTAATATTGTTTTAATGACCATACTGCCCAAAGAAATCTATAGATTCAATGCAATTGCTATCAAAATACCAGCATCATTTTTTTCACAGAATTACAAAAAACTATCATAAAATTCATATGGAACCAGAAAAAAGCCCAAACAGCCAAAGCAATCCCAAGCAAAATGGACAAACCTGGAGGCACCTCATTACCTGACTTGAAATTGTATTACAAGGCTATAGTAACCAGAACAGCATGGTACTGCTATAAAACTAAACACATAGATCAATGGAACGTAATAGAAAACACACAAATAAGGTCACATATTTACAGCTAACTAATCGTTGACAAAGCTGACAACAACATAAGTGGGAAAAAGGACACCCTTTTCAATAAATGGTGCTGGGACAATTGAATTTTGCCATTTGCAGAAGAATTAAACCAGACTCCTATCTCCCACAATGTACATAAACTCAAGATGGATTAAAAACTTAAACATTAGACCTAAAACTGTAAAAATGCTTGAATAAAACATAGGGCAAACTTTTGGACATTGATCTAGGCAAATAATTTATGACAAAGACCTCAAAAGCATAGGAATCAAAAACAAAAATAGACAAATGGGATTTAATTAAAAACTTCTGTACAGCAAAAAATAAATAAATAAACAGTGTGAAGAGACAGCTAGTAGAATGGGAGAAAAAATATGGAAAGTATTCATTTGACAGGAGACTAAAATCCAAAATATACAGGAAACTGAACTCAACAGCCAAAAATCCCTGAAACAATCCCATTAAAAAGTGGACAAGAAGTAAGATGGTATTACATTGTGGTTTTGATTTGCATTTCCCTGATTATTCGTGATGTCGAGCATTTTTTCATATGTTTATTGGCCATTTATGTATCTTCTTTTGAGAATTGTCTGTTTATGTCCTTAGCCCACTTTTCAACGGACTGTTTTACTCCCACCTGTTATGACTGGTGCATGCACTCATGACTAAGGGGTCTGAGCACAAGCTTGCCAAGTCTACCTCCATCTGGCTTTGGCCTCCAACTAAAAATGAGTACCAAGATTGAATTAGCAATACAACCAGCCAGTGAACAGCAAAAAAAAAAAAAAAAAAAAAAACCCTGAAACTCAACAGCCAAAAACCCCTGAAACAATCCCATTAAAATGCAGGCAAGGAGTAAGGTGGTATTGCATTGTGGTTTTGATTTGCTTTTCCCTGATTATTAGTAATGCTGAACGTTTTTTCATATGTTTGTTGGCCATTTGTGTATCTTCTTTTGAGAATTGTCTGTTTTTGTCCCTAGTCCACTTTTTGATGGGATTGTTTGTTTTTTTCTCTTGCTAATTTTTCTGAGTTCCTTGTAAATTTGGGATATTAGAGACTTTGGAATACTATTCAGCCATTAAAAGAAGTGAATTAATGGCATTTGCAGCAACTTAGATGGGACTGGAGACTATTATTCTAAGTGAAGTAACTCAGGAACGGAAAACGAAACATTGAATGCTCTCTCTTATAGATAGAAACTAAGCTATGAGGATACAAAGGCATAGGAATAATACAATGAACTTTGGGGACTCAAGGGAAAGGGAAAGAGGGGTGTGAGGGTTAAAAGACTACAAATTGGGTTCAGTGTGTAGTGCTCAAGTGATGGGTACACCAAAATCTCACAAATCACCAGTGAAGAACTTATCATGTAACCAAATACCACCTGTTCCCCCAAAACCTATGGAAATACAAAATTTAAAAAAAAAAGAAAAATAGTGGGCAAGGATATGAACAGACATTTTTCAAAAGAAGACATACAAATGGCCAAATTTATATAAAAAATGCTCAACATCACTAATCATCAGAGAAATTAAAATTTAAAAACCATGAGATATCATCATCTCCCAGTCAGAATGGCTCATGTTAAAGTGACAAAAAGTAACAGATGTTGATGAAGATGTGGAGAAAAGAGAACTCTTATACACTGTTGGTGGGAATATAAATTATTAGCCTTTACGGAAAACAGTAGGAAAAATTTCCAAAGAACTAGAAATAGAATGACCGTTTTATCAGACAATCCCTCTACTGGGTATCTACCCAAAGAAAAATAAATCAGTATGTCAAAAATTACCTGCACTCACATGTTTATCACAATAGCAAAGGTATGAAATTAACTTAAGTGTCCACCAATGGATGAATGAATAGAGAAAATGTGTTATATGTACAATGAAATACCATTCAGCCATAAAAAGGAATAAAATGTTTTTTGTTTGTTTTTGAGGTGGAGTTTCACTCCTGTTGCCTAGGCTGGAGTGCAATGGCATGATCTCAGCTCACTGCAACCTCCACATCCCGGGTTCAAGTGTTTCTCCTGTCTCAGCCTCCCAGGGAAGCTGGGATTACACGCATGCACCACCATGCCCAGCTAACGTTGTGTTTTTAGTAGAGACGGATTTTCTTCATGTTGGTCAGGCTGGTCTCAAACTCCCAACCTCAGGTGATCCACCCGCCTCAGCCTCCCAAAGTGCTAAGATTACAGGAAGAATAAAATCATGTCTTTCACAGCAATATGGATGGAAATTAAAGTCACTATCTTAAGTGAAACAAGCCAGGCACAGAAAATCAAATATCACATGTTCTTACTCATAAAGGTGCTAAAAGCGCATACACATGGAGGTAGAAAGTGGAATTATTGACAGTGACAGTTGATACTTGGAAGGGGGAGGGGGTAAGAGAGGAGTGATGAGAAATTAGTTGATGCATATAATAAATGTTATTTGGGTTATGGATACCCTAAAAGCTCTGAATTGACCTTATACAGTTTATGCATGTAAAGAAAAATTTTATATGTACGCCATAAATTTGTACAAATAAAATAAAGAGACACTAAAGCCAACTAGATAATACATTTAGCTAGGAACTCAGAGACAATTCTATTGGCAATGACTGTCTGGGAATGGCCACAACTGTTGTGTATTTCCTTATGCACAGCAGTTAGTGTATCTATTTATTTTTCCTATCAGTTGACTATACTATTAAAGTTATCATTTTCCCTTGCTGCTTCCACATATTTGAAGGGGCTTCATGGCTGATGGCTGCGCCTAAAGATCAGTAAAAAAGCAGCAGTGTATGGCGAGCAGAGAACGGCTCAGAAAGCTTCACACCAGACTCTGTGAACTACTATGTATTTTTCTGTAAAATGGGATTGGAAATACAGCTTTTTCCTTATAAAGTTTTAATTGAGAAAAGATGAGGGGAAGTATTCAGCATGTTGTACATGCTCAATTAATATTTGCTGGCATGTATTATTTTTCCAGAAGCCTTTTCATAACCAGTTATTTGACATTTTTGGACAAAAGTTAAATTTTAAGTAAGTTGTTTCTTTTATGAGTAAATGCTCATAAAAACGACGTGAATTCATATAAGTAAAATTGTTATTTATCTCATTGATTTGTCATGATATTTTTTTCTTAGGCATATAAATATCTTCATTTTTCTTTTTCTAGACAACAAGCTGGTGAGCAGCCTCAGCCTGCCTCTTTTGTTCCACCAGAGATGTTCATGTCACCAGGCTACACAGGACAATTTTTTCAGCCAGCATCCAACTCGGATTATTATTCACAATCTTCTTACATTGACAGTTTTGATGAAGAGCCTCCTCTGCTAGAAGATAAGTTAAGGGAGTGTTATTAATGTGTGTACAGCTAGAAGAATAATAGCAATAATTAGCACCTAATATGTGCTGTCAGCCGGCTGTGTACAATGTTTTATGTGTGATTGTTTCACATATAACATGAGTTTGCTGAACCAAAACACTTAAACCACTGGAAGTTTCTTGCATGTTTGCGTAGGGGAAATTGGGTGCAGATATGGGTTATTCTGTGATATTGCTGCACTTATTAAATGCTCCTTCACTTTTTCTTAAATTAGAATTCCTTGGCCAATAATAGAAAATAATGAAGACATCTTTTTGCAGAGTAGCTACATCAAAGTGACCACTCTTCCCACCCCAGTTAATGAAGCATTTTATAACAGCTAATTTTATTTTCTGTGATGTTTTCCCAGGAGCAAAGTGGATGGTTTCTCAAATTAATATTTTTGTTGTCACTGTTGACATGGAGACAAGCCAGTATTTTTTTCTTTCCTGACTCATACAAGACCTTTCATCTTAGCTTGGCATGGGTAGGTGAGGAAGAATATAAATCCAGTAAATAATACTGCTGGACAGAAGGAAATCCAGAGACTCTTAGAGCTGAAGGTCCTTAGGGGATTTTGGAGTTGTTCCATCCATTTATCTTTTTTTTCATATGTAGCCAGTCCATATGTGCTGTTTTTGCCCTTAAGGAATGTTAATACAATGCAAAAACATAAGTGTTAAAAAACTAAAACCCAGGTGGATATAAATTTGAGAACCAGGCAGAAATTGTCACTTGTTAACTGCTCCAAGTCTTTTGCATGTAGTCAAGTAAAAGGAATATATTAAAATTTCCAGTATTTTACATCACAAGGTGTTAAGGTGTTTGCCTCACATGAACACAGCCTTAAAAAATGTGAAAACGTGAAAGATTTAAAGCATTCGGAACAGCACAGAGATTTATATAATCGATCTATTGGCTCTTTAGAATCCAGTCAAGTTTCTGGATCAGTTATCTCTAACCAGTTTATTCTATTTTGCCTCTATAAGTAATAAACACCTAGAAGTTATAAATTGCTCTCATTAAACATTTTCCTTGACTTGACCAACATCTCTGTCTCATTGTCTTCAGAATTTGCAAAACATAGAAACATAAGAATAAATATATAAAAATTACTTCAAATCTTGTCTCAAAGACATATCTATAAGAATTTAATGTATTTTCTTCTAGCCTTTATTCTATTTTCCTATGAATATCTGTATATATGTATTATGTATGAATATACATGCATATTTTATAGTAAAATACTATTTTTTCAATGAATATATATGCATTTGAGTACTTAAAGTATTGTATTCTTTTCATTTACTTTATGTCACAAGCATTTTTTTTTTTTTTTTTTGAGATGGAGTCTCACTCTGTTGCCCAGGCTGGAATACAGTGGCACAATCTTGGCTCACTGCAACCTCTACCTCTTGGGTTCAAGCGATCTTCCTCCCTCAGCCTTCTGAGTAGCTGAGAAGTGTAGGTGCACACCACTGCACCCAGCTAATTTTTGTGTTTTTAGTAGAGACAGGGTTTTGCCATGTTGGCCAGGCTAGTCTCAAACTCCTGACTTCAGGTGATCCACAATTTTGGCCTCCCAAAGTGCTGGGATTACAGGCATGAGCCACTGTGCCAAGCCTGTCATGAGCACTTCTATGCATGCATTCTTTAAAATAATGAAATATTATTTGAAAACACTTTATATCCATTTTGTATAATTTTTCTTTTTTTTTTTTTTTTTTTTTGAGAAAGAGTTTCACTCTTGTTACCCAGGCTGGAGTGCAATGGCGCGATCTCGGCTCACCACAACCTCCGCCTCCTGGGTTCAGGCAATTCTCCTGCCTCAGCCTCCTGAGTAGCTGGGATTACAGGCACGCGCCACCATGCCCAGCTAATTTTTGTATTTTTAGTAGAGACAGGGTTTCACCATGTTGACTAGGATGGTCTCAATCTCTTAACCTCGTAATCCACCCACCTCGGCCTCCCAAAGTGCTGGGATTACAGGCTTGAACCACTGCACACAGCCATTTTGTATAATTCTATTATATAACATAACCATAATTTAAAAACACCTTAATGGTTATTCCTTGTAACAAGAAATACTTTTTTGACCGTCATCATGAACCATATTTGACTTTTGTAGAGCCTGTCCTTAGGATGTACCTGTAACAATGAGATTGCAGGGTTAACGGTACTGACACCGTCAACTGATCTTGAAAATGGTCTTCTACTCCACTCTCAGAACAAAATATGACATGTCTTTGTCAATTTCATAGAAAAAAAGGAAAAAGGAATACTTCATACATTTAAGTTACTAAAAAATTTTGACACTTCTCACGTGTTGATTGACTTTTTATTTTTCATGCTTTTTGTTGTTGTTGTTGCTGTTCAGATTTCTATCGAATCTAAAGAGTATTCTTTCCTTGTTTTTTAGGGATTTTATGTAGTAACAATATTAATTATTGTCTAGAATATGTATTTCAAACATTTCTTTCCTAGCTTGTGTTTGCCATTTAATTTGTTTATGGGTCTTTGGGGCATATTAAAAATGTGATATTAATTTTTTAAACCCAGAATATGTTTCCTAGTAACACTTCTTTCCAATTGTTCTTTGTTCAGAAACTACTTCGCTAGCTCTAGATACTGTTTCTATCTCCTTATACATGCTCACATTTTAAAATTATCCTTTTGTGGTTTTTGTTTTATATTGAATTTTTTCATTCAAGAGTTGTTTAAACTTAATATGTGAAGTAAGGATTTAACTTTATTTTCTGTACTGCTTAACACATCTTTTCCTGCAACATGTATTGAAAATAATCTCTTCTACTATCTGAAATGTCTCTATTGCATTAATACCATGCTTTATATATCCTCCTCTAATGTGTCTTTCAATTTGAATAGAAAATATATAACAGATTTTTCTTTCCATTTTATGCAGCTCAGAGTGAATTTCCCCAAATTATATAGTGTATTAGAACAGCAGTCCCCAATCCTTTTGGCACCAGAGAACAGTTTTATGTAAGACAATTTTTCCATGGACAGTTGGGGGAGATGGTTTTGGGATGAAACTGTTCCACCTCATATCATCAAGCATTATTTAGATTATCATAACAAGCATGCAACCTAGATCCTTCGCATGCACAGTTCACAACAAGGTTAACACTCCTATTAGAAACTAACACTGTTGATCTGGCCAGAGGCACAGCTCAGGTAGTAATACTTGCTCGCCCACTGCTCACCTCCATCTCCTGCTATGCGGCCTGGTTTCTTTTTTTTTTTTTTTTTTTTTCTTTTCTTTCTTTCTTTCTTTTTTTTTGGTGCAAATTTAATTTTATTAAACCTTACAATGAATATTGTGGCATATGATTTTTCCATTGTGTGACAATTTATTAGCTGGCATCTGAATACAGTATTTCTTTTGGAAAAATACACAATGGGAACTGACAGAAGGGAGAGAAACTAGTTGTTTAGTGGTACATGAGGGCAAAAGAAAAAGAAAAAAAAGAAAATAATGATGACCAATTAGTTTGTTTCCTTAGTATCGAGCTCTAAAATGATTAAAGTTCTAGGCAATAATGCTGTTGTTACAGTGTACAAGAATACATTATCATCTCATTTAGTCTGCACAATTCTAAGAATAATTATAAAAATTATCATATCTGTAAATTCAGCCTAAGGTTTTTGTTGGGCAATATGATTTTTAAAGAGCTACTTTTCCCATATAACCTAAACAATTTTCCCAAATCATGGTAGACTGGGGTCTCTATACACATTAAGGTAGCCACTTCACAAGTGAACTATCACTTAACTTCAAATCATAAAGGGCGCCAAATTATCTTTGATTTGGGTTTATGCCTGTCAGATTTATGAATAAGAAAAATGACTATTTTTAAGTCCATAATCCATTTGTCTTTATAAAGTAGACTGTATGTGGCCCGGTTTCTAACAGGCCATGGACAGGTAGGTATAGGTCCCAGCCTGTATTAGAAGATAGACTACCTAATCTAGTTTTGTGTTTTGAATCTATGAAATATTTGGATTTTGGATCCAACATGTTCTTCAGGCTGAGTGACTTGTGAAAGCCTCTAACCTCTTCTGTCTAAAGACATAAAAAAGAACAGATATGTCTTTTTCAGATATAAAAAAGATACGATTTCTAGGATAACACATTAAATAACATTTACAAGTTTTTATTGACTAGCCAACAGAATGGCCTTTAATATTATGAAGCTATAATAATGAACAGTCTTTGCACAAAAAGCATGTTATTTCGAAAATGTCCTTCTTTATTCCTTAAATGTTTTGTTGTCTAAAATATTTGGTTTTATGTAAGAATGATAAATTTTGCTATTTGTTAATGTAAAATCAATATGTTAACAAACGCATCTTCAAGAATAATAGTAAATTCTAGCCTGTCAGATAAAAAAATTACTGATATTTGGTATTTTGTATTTGCAGCATAGCTTGACGTTTATATATGAAAGTCCAATGCCACAATTTGCATAGAAAATAGAGATCTTAATTCACTTTTATAGTATATGTATCATATACTTTACTGCCACTAGATGACAGCAAAACAATAAATTTTGTACTCAAATTTCACAGCAGTTTCATCTTCTTTTATTTTGAATAAGATGTTATATTAGAATATCTATAATTAATAAATATAATCTCTCTCACATACCTTATAATAAATAAATACAAAATATTATGGAACTATATTTCAGTAGAAACACATAAAATCTTTTTTATTGTGAAAATATTTATATGGGTTTATGTTCATTTACTGTCTCATGGCTTGATATTAAATTATGTGCAGGAGTTAAGTCATTAAATACATGGTTGACACCAGCAATGATGTTGCATAAAGCATTTTTCATCTGAGTTTCTTCTAAGAACAAAATTATTATGTTATTTGAGGAAACAGTATTTGGAATTAAATACAACTTTATTGTGGTAAATACTGAAAATGTCTTTTAATTTTTAGCGTAAATGCCAAAATTAAAAATAGTTTGAGAACATAAGCTTCAGGTAAAATTAATTTAAAATAAATCAATTTAAAATATATAGCATGTCTCAATTTTTAAAGTCTTCTCTTTTAAAGATTACATTAGACATTCTAACCTCCTTTTAAGCTTGGTGAACTGCTCATATTCTTCAAAGTGTATGTTCATTAATAAATGTATAAATGCACTGTGGAGATAAAGCATGAAACAAGGAAGCTGAAATGTAAATTATTTGCTTTTAATTTAACTATTTAATTTTTTTTTTCAAACTTAAAATAACAAATGTCATTCTGGGCATGAAATGAATAAAGGTTTATTTTCTGGTTTAGCGCAGTGTCTAGCTGACCCTCTGAAAATTTCTGAGTTCTTAGAACAAGGCTCCTCTGTGTCATGGGGATTATTAAAAGTTCATCTTGTATTCTGTGTACCGAAAGTCAACTTTGCAAGGTATTTAGATGGTATCTGCCTCTGTAAAGTAAGCTGAGCTATACCCCTGTATCTGACCAAAAAGTGTTACTAAATCCTTGGAAGGGAAGTTGAGTGCGACATACAAATACGTTTAGGAAGACAATCTTTCACATGGAAGTACTGGGCTCATTTAAAAAGAAAATACAACCATTGTGAGATTAGATGAACATCGACCTAACCACAACTTATGGTTAAATACCTGCTTTCTTAATTCAGATTGTGCAGCATTGAAACCTCAATTTTCTATTACTAGCTTTGTGTCTTTGGACAAATTAATCTCTCAAAGCCTTAGCTTTTAATCTCTCAAAGCCTTAGCTATCTGATGCATAAAATAGGAATAAAATAATAGTAATCGATTGATTGTGTATCTATAAGACAAGTGCATGTAAATCTTGTGGAGTCCATAGCGAAAACTCAGTAAATTTTAGCTTTCATTTCTTCCTAGCCTCCACCTTACCCTTACTGATATTCAAAATTATAGGATAACCAGTTTGATTGCTGGTCCCTAAATAGTGAAGTCATATTCTTCTCTTTGAATGTTCTCTTTCTCTACCCTAGATACATCTTAGTTGATCTCTACAGAAGTGATGAGAAAAGAAATTAATGTGGTATCAATATTTATTTCTATGTTCAGGGGATGTCAAATGGCTAGGTATTTGCTTTATATTAATAAGAGAAGCAGATTCTAGCAGAAGGATCTGTGAGGCAGCAGTCAGAAATCTTTGAAAACTGGGAATTGGAGAAAATAATTAGAAATTTCTACATGGGTTTAGACTCATGAACACTTATCCTCACAGATTGTGAATATTTTATTTGAACACTACCATGTATAAAAGAGAAAGGTTAACTTGTCTCAAGAATTTAATCTTTGAATACATAGACTCAACTTCACAGTGCATTGACCTTACAAAAATATGCGTGCACATCGTGATCACTTTTACTTGCAGAAATCAGCCCTTTTCCTCTCTGTGTAGTTTCAAGCATTTAGCGTAAAATTGTTCTTCTCGTTAGCCATAGTAGAACTAAAACCCAGATGTGGACTAAGTCTCATTAGTTTAGTATAGTACTGCTAATTGAAAAATTATGCCAAGGCTGATATGACAGGATTTTAGAAGTGCCAGCAATTGAAAATACGGAGAAAGGGTCAAGTGCAGTGACTCGGGTCTGTAATCCCAGCACTATGGGAGGCTGAGGCAGGATGGCTCCTTGAGTCCGGGAGTTCAAGACCAGCCTGGGCAAAATAGTGAGACCTCATCACTATGAAAAAAATTAATCAGGTGTGGTGGTGCATGCCTATATAGTCTCAGCTACTCAAGAAGCGGAGGCAGGAGGATTGCTTGAGCCCGGGAGGCAGAGGATCCGGTATCGTGCCACTGCACAATCTGGGCGACAGAGGGAGACCCTGTCTCAAAAAAATAAATAAAAAGAAACAGAAAATATGGGAAAAGTAAATATCTAAATGGACAATAGGATGACATTTTTGATCTGTTAGCTACAATTTTATTTTTTACTGTATATTGCAATTTCCCAAATTTTAATTAGATTTAAAGCTTGTATTTGCTGCATAGATCAGGGAATATTTTCTTTGATGGAATTATTTCTCTAACATATTTGTTTTAGGTCATTCTTTGGAAACCAAATTATTTTTTAGTTTGTTTTTTAAAGATTACTACATATTACATAGAACCTGAGATTGTGTAATGCAGAATATAGAACTTTAGAAGGTATAATAGCACAAACAGATTAAAACGCTAAGTAAATTAATCAGGTACGTTAACCTTTAAAGAATGTAACTCATTTTTATTTTTCTATATTTATATTATCATATTATTTCTCTCTTTTTTCGTTTATACAGAGCTTGGAATCCATTTTGATCACATATGGCAAAAAACTTTGACAGTGTTAAACCCAATGAAGCCAGCAGATGGCAGCATTATGAATGAAACGGACCTCGCTGGACCCATTCTTTTTTGCGTAGCCCTGGGAGCCACCTTGCTTCTGGTAATATGTCACAGCAAGCACCAGATTTTAGTGTTTGTCCTTTCCAGTGTCGATTTTGAAGCAATCTGTATAAATACAAGAGAAAGTGTGTCACTTTACACAGTGAATTTGTTTTAAGCGAGAGAGAGTAATTTAACCACGTGATAAAAAGATGCTACCATTATGCGTTGCAACAGTTAAAAAGTATAAATTTAAATAGAATTTCAAAAGGAGATCAAAGCAAGAGATAATTTATATCTTTTTTGTTATTAAGAAAAGAGTGTAAATCTGGAATAAGGGAAGGGAACAAAGATTTGAGAGATATAAATCCTACATTTTAGTTTTTGTTTTCTGGGAGACTTCTAATGTGACACTGAACAAGTTACTTCTTTTTGGTCATCATTTCTTTGCTGTGACGTATCTCCAGACACTTTCTAGTATTTTATGAGGTATGAGACAGATCTCCTTGTTTTGGGTCAGGCTACCATGAATAAATCAATTTGCAACGACAACCTATGGTTTGTTTACTCTACTTATTTCCTCTAAAGTGTTTTCTACTTTTTATGAAGACATTTGTTCTCTGACTTTAACATGTTTTACATATGCTTTCATTCTTTATATCTGCAAATAATGATATTAAGGGTCACTAAAATTTTTTTAAAAAGTATTTCCACCTAAGTAAAGTTTAAAAGACATTCTAGCTCATAGTTTAGGAAAATGTTTTATTAAAAAAAAAAGGAAGAAGAAAAAAATGAGAAAATGTCTCTGACTTTATACCAAGGAGGAGATGGCAATACATTAAAAACAGGGAAGTATGAAGATGGTCAAGTCAGTGTGAAAAGTGTAGTTTCATTAGAGCACAAAAAGATAAACTAGGCAGGGGAAATAAAATGAGAAATTAAACATTAGGGGAAAAGCTTTTAATAACTACTTAGCCCTCTTCCCCATTTTCCTGCTCTTCGTGTTCCATAAAAATAATTTGTTCCAGTGGATTTATAATTTTCAAATGTAGTTGTAAAACGCATTTGCAACTAAATGAAATTCCACTTTTAAATTATTATATATGATCAATCAAAGTACTCGTAGCAATCCGGTTTCTGCAGGTAATATGGCTAATAATAACATATTCATCCAATTCAATAGCATTTAATGATAACATCATATTTCTTTGTTCTACAGCAAGTGCAAATACTCTGTAAACCAAACACTATATCAACTAGAGTTTTAATTTAGTCTCTAACCTCCCTTCTTCTGTCTTTGTCACAGTAATTTGATAATCTTCGATTAACTGCTAAGTAAGGCCATGTCAATTAATCAAATAGTCAGAAACAATCAATTTAATATATTAACTCATCTTTCTTTTTCAAGTCATTCATAATAAAATAGCTGTTTGTTCTGTGGCAGAATATTACTGTTACCATCCCTTAAAGAACAACATTGATTCCATTATGATATTTCATGGATGCATAATGTTAGTTGGTGTTATTTACATATCCCTTTTTATGTTTTCAATATAAAGCAATCAAGGCAAAAAATATTCTTGATTGGAAGTGAGAAAATTGGATCTACCCTAACTTTGCCATTTGCTGTAATCTTTAAACTTTGGCTTCCTATTTCTAGGCTTTCATTTCATTTTCTTCAAGACAAAAGTAGTTTATTTGAGTGGTTCTTCAGGTTCTATTTAGTACTAAATTATGGGGAATATATGAAAATGCTATTTTTGAACGTCTTTATGCAAACATTATCATTTGAATTTTTACCATTAGATGTGGTGACATTCAAATTGATTCTGATAAATATAGAGCAAAAAGGACTCTTCCAAAACTCCAACTGACTATTAATTGAAGTATGATTTAACTCAGAATTCATTTGATTATAGATTAATTCTTTCCTGGATATGTGGAATTAAAATGTAAGGGTGATTTTATAGGCTGATATGGGAATTTTACTAGAGAAATCAAAACTAAATCCAGAATCAATATCCAATCTGTTTATTATCTCTGGAGATATAAGAGTCATAGTCACATACTCTTCCTTCTTTATGATTTATGCTGACATAAGTCACAATTTATTTCAGTGGGCTTTCTTCAGGTTAAAGGAGACAAACCAAAGAAAACAGCTTCAAGCACTTAACACAAATTTAGTTTTACTTATTCTTTCACCCCCAGTTATTTTCGTTTCTAACACCAAGAACACAAATGGTTTAAAGCTATTGCTCCATTTAACTTTTCCGGTAGGGCCAAGAGTGTGGTCAGGAAAAGCAACATGCATGACCAATATAAAAATGCAATCAGAAGAACATTAAGTATTTTAAATCAAGATGTGGTAATGAGGATGGTGTAAGGAGGATCTTTAAAAAGTTTGAGGGTAACAAAATAGAACATTATTTCCTGTTTCAATTATAAGCCCTTGTTAGAATTTAAAACAAAATTTAAAAATGGCAATGATTTAGGCTAAATGGAATTACAACTTAAACTGGACAAACTAACAAGAGAAAGACATGATGAAAGAAGTGCATAACTGATATGAAAAGACACAATTTTAGTACCAAGTTAGCTTCATCTACTTCCTATTTGCCCCACTCCATTTGTAAAACTGCCTTTTCCGGACAAGAAGGTCCAGTTAGGTGTCCTTTGGGTGTAAGAGAGTTGCCCTATACCATTTGGACTAGCCCTACCTCAGAATTGTCCCATTCAGGTAAAATATTAACTAGATAGTTTCTCTAATACATGACAATGATGTGAAATTGTCACTATTTTGCAATTGGAACAAACTCACCCAATAAAGCAGTGGATAGCTGATGTGTTTCTGTTAGCCTGTCCATCATTAGCATTATTTCATTAAATAGCAACAAGAATAAAGAAGATATCCTGAGAATTCTGCCAACAAAAGCCAGGGATTTTTAATGAAAGGACTTGGTAGTGATCAACTCTGCAAGCTCAGAGGAAGAAGAATTCAGAATAGGTGAACAATTTTGAACATTAAAATGGCTGTGACATTCTCCATTACACTGATTAATTGTAAAATAAATATCTCTTAAAGATTTCATAGATAATAGCATGGAGAAGGAAAAGTGGAAGCTAAAAAGCTCTCTCTCTCCTGAATCCATTTATCAGATCCTTCATTGTTTTTGTCTAATTCCCATGAAAACCAGAGACAATCTATTCGACTTTTATCTAGAAGTTTTCATCAGCTTAATGTAAACATTAAAAAGTAATGAATTTTTAAACTGTAGCTTTGGTATTCTCAGATAGCAAACATTAAAATATTCTCTGTTGAAGTAGTAGTAGGCTGTGATTTTCTCTGAATGAATTTATGGGGGCTTGTACTCACAAGACACTAGCTTTGTGAGCAATGACTATTTTTATAAGTTTTCCTCAGAAAATTGGAGGTGTACTCTTAGCACTACTAACTTCCTTTGACAGTACCCCTTTTATGATTTATTACCAGTAAGTTTATATAAATCAGCTTTTCATAATGTGTGGTTAATCAACCTGGCAATTGGTGTTATGAAACATATCCATGGTCAAATAAGTGCTAAAAGAAATAAGGTTAAATATATCCCATTATTTTGAGACTTATTTAGGACTTCTAAGAGTTCCTGTTGACGTTCAGGGCCTAAATTTTAGAGGTGAAATACCTAGGTTCAAAGCCAATCTCCATTGCTTAGCATTATATTACCCTGGGCAAGTTACTTATCCTCTCTGCACCTCAATGTCCTCATATGTAAAGGTGGTGTAATAGTGATACCTATTTCATAAGACCATTATGTGGATTAAGTAAACATATGTAGGATACTTAGAATGGGACCTGACATGGTAAACCCTGTAGATGTTTGCTAATTTTACTAATATACCTTGTAAATCTCTAAGACTAAAATTGATTTTTTTATTCCTCTATTCAATCACATAATTATTTAATAGATATATGGGGACAAAATATGGTCTTTCTTATGCTCTATACTTGTAATAGACAATTTATAATAAAAAATAGAAGTCTAGAAATATTCGATTTTTTGTAGCATGCTTCTCCCATCCTGACTCTAGTCAAAAGTGTTAGTTTTCAGAATCTGAATTCATATCATTGGTTGTGTTTTTCCCAGAACTTCCAGTCTCCTGATGATAGTCTTACAAAGACAACAGCACTGAACTGACTCTAAGGTGCTCTCTGCTTCATGATATTCAGATTTTCTCTTGGTGCCTATTGTGTGTTCAAACTTTTCTTCATGTTGTTTCAGGCAGGGAAAGTTCAGTTTGGTTATGTGTATGGCCTTAGTGCCATTGGCTGCCTTGTGATTCACGCCTTACTGAACCTGATGAGCTCTTCAGGGGTGTCATACGGCTGTGTGGCCAGCGTGCTGGGTTACTGCCTGCTCCCCATGGTCATCCTGTCTGGCTGTGCCATGTTCTTTTCACTGCAGTAAGTGTCTGTCTGCTGTCATTGACCCCACATGCACAATCAGAGCCAAGGTTTGCTATAGCCATGCCAAAGTTAAGTTCTTTCTGATTGTTTTGGTAGTGGAACAGGGAAAACCATGGCTCTTAAAAGCTACACATAGATTGAGAAAAGTAGGTCAGTTTTGGCTCAGGTGCTATTTCCCTTTCGATGACGTAAAAATAAATTAATCCAAGTTATCTTTAAAACTGAAGCTTTTTAAGTTGTCACATTTTTCAATGTGAACTATCGTCGTGTGTAAAATAACTACAGGAAATTTACTTGTTTGATTTTGAAGAGTAAGTTCCTGGTGAACACTGATAAATTGCTTCAGCTTTCAGGCACTCTGTCTTTAGGGCTGAAAGCAACTATTCTTTCTCAGCTGGGCTCCTTGCCGAGTAGAATTCCCAGGAATCCTGATGAGGATATTAATGTTGGAGAACTTTATAACATACATGCTCAGTCAATATGTTTTTTCTTTTTTTCTTCCCTAATTTGGCCAATTATTATGTGTAACTCAAGACAATGACTAAAAAATACAGTACATTAAATAGCTCTAGAAATTATTACCTACTAGGTATTACTCAAATCAATAAATGTAGTATTTACTTGGTGTTTTAAAAATAAGTTTGGTTCATTAATAGTCTGAGGCATTAGAAGCTATACTGTAGAGTTTTTTACTTCTTTTTCTTCGGTTCAGTTACTGGAGGTAGATATTTCTGTCATTTTCACAAATAAGAAACACAATTCCCAACTTCAGAGTCAAACCAAGATCAAGGAAGGCAGTTTAGTTTGGTGGTGAAAAGAGTGCTATGCTAGGAGTTAGGAGATCTTGACCTATTACCCACTTCACCATGCAATTTTTGTCATCACTTTATTGCTTTGAAACTGGGCAGCATACATTTCCTGAGATTTCTCTCAGCTTTTATGTCTTATTTTTCTAAATAATGCATTCTGTTTAACACATTAGGAAAGAAATTCACTCTCTACCACCCTCCCTACTTTATTCTTTTCCAAGTGACTAGACTTAACCACCTTATTTGCTCACTGGCCTCTGCAGTTACTTTTTGAAGATACCAATTGAACAAATCTATTTCAGTATTCTAAAAATATACAAAATGGAACTTCAAGGATGAGGTGGGAAGCCACACATATGTGCTTTCCTATCCCATGTGTTCCTTACTTGAGCTGTGTCAGGCTTTTTCGTGATCTCAGACAAAACCCTGGGAAGTAAATCTAGAAGTATTAGGAACTAGGCACCCCACTGCAATGTAACTCTGTCTATCTTTCTCCTCTGCTGTTGGCCAATTTTTGAAAAAAGTAGGGAAAAGGAAATCTATAGCTATAAGGAAGCGAAGATTTTCAATGCTGTATTTCAGGGAATTTTAGGAGTTAGGATTTGAATATTGACAGATGAGAGGAGAGTGACTCAGGTGATTTCTACTTTTTTTTTTTTTTTCTCTAATTCAGGTTTAACAGAAGTATAAAATATTTATCCTCTGTAATGAATTTGACTTAAAAAATGCCTAACTGGCCAAGGGCTTTTGTTCATGTATTTCATCATTTTTATTTTACCAGTGGAGAAAGTAGTTACAAGTATTGTACCAAGGATATTTCAAAGGCAACTATAACTCAATGATCTCTTTTTCTACTGGCATAAAGCAATCATCTCTTTGTCTTTGCTGCAGGGGCACCTTTGGAATCGTGTCATCGCTGGTCATCATTGGCTGGTGTAGTCTCTCAGCTTCCAAGATTTTCATTTCAGCCTTGGACATGGAAGGACAGCAGCTTCTTGTTGCCTACCCTTGTGCCTTACTTTATGGACTTTTTGCCCTCCTAACAATTTTCTAAAAACTGTTTGAGATGACATTGCAAGACTCTATTTGTTTGCTATCCAGATTATTTTGGAACTATATTAACATTCAGATTTCGTGATATGATTTCTGTTTTATTGCTTTTGAGAGAGTAATAAGCAGAGAGACAAAGCAGCACTTAAGCATGGTGCTCTAATAGCCTGTTGGTTTGAATGATGTTTTGCTTTTGAGTTTGATGCATTAAAACATTTCAAAATACTTAAAAAGGGATACGGATGCTGTACTGATCGACCCTGCTTTTCTCAATAGGTGTATTTCTGAGCTACCGTAAGTAAATAAAACCATGTTTACTAAAAGAAAATCTCTAGTAAGCCTTTTGAGAAACTTGCATGACAGCTCAAGCTGTGTGCATGTGCCTAAAAATTGCACTGTTTTGCACCTTTGGAGAGTTCAGCGGTTTTTATGTAGGATTTTATTTACCCAAAGTCTCAAAGAACCTCTTCCCTTTCAATAAATAGTTTTAATAACTTCTTTGGTATCATTAGATAATGCATTGACTCACCACTTTTTTAAGCCCTCAATTTCATCTTACTTGGTTTAGATGCCATGGTTTATTACTCTAATTTCTTTCTTATATGTATACTCAGCAACCTTGCCATTTTCTCATACGTAGGTGAATGTTACTAGAAGAAATCCCACTTATTTTATGTTTACTGTATTACCATGTCTTGAACGGCTCCTCTGTACTATCCTTGAATCCTACTACATTCTCTTAAATTTGCCTCCATGCTATCTGGGATGAATATATTACACCAATTCTTCTCCACTGAAATCCCCAACAGTCCTTTCTCATTTTCTACTGTTAGTTGATTCTTATTTTATTGCAAAACAGAAGCATCTAGAATAAAAGTGCTTGTCTTTCCCCTTTCTTCTCCCTCCACCTACATGCATCTTCACCCATATGTATTCTTCTTTTCCTCTCGTCTCTCTCTCCTCTCCACAGCCATCCCCTCCACCTGCATAACCCATATTTTCTCTTCATCTTTCATTTATATCAGCACATGAATATGTTTCAATATCTTTTATCTTAAAATAAAACTGCTTTGATTTAACATCTTTCTCTAGTTATGGCCCATTCTCTGTTCCTTTTTATTGCAAAAACTCTTGAAAGCGTTTTCTGTTGTCTCTGCTTCTACTTTATCATCTCCCATTCTTGCTATCTTACATTCTAGGAAATAATTTATCACCCTATTCACCAAGACCACCTTTGTCAAGTTAGCAACAATGTCCACATCTTGCAAACTTCACTGGTCAATTCTCAGTTTCATTTTATTTGAACCCTGACAGGTATTTACTTGATTATCCAACCTTCTTAGCCACTATGTTGAAGCACTTCTTCACTTAAATTCTAGAGTGTCACATGCTCTTGGATTATTTTCCTACCTCATAGGTAGCTTCTCCTAAGTTTCCTTGGCCGGTCTTCTTCTTTTCAGCCTTAAATCTCTCTAATCCTCCCTTGTTAGATGAGCTCATTTAACTGAATGACTTTAAAATCTAATGATCCCCAAATTTCAATCTCCATCCAATACTCTCCCCTAAGCTCTTAACATATATACACAACTTAATACTTTCATTTGATCATTAATATGATATTCTTTTTTTATTTTTAAAATTTATTTATTTTTTATTGCATTTTATGATATTCTTAGTAATAGCATATCTGAAACGAAACCTTTGACTTCTATCTTGTCCTACCCGTCCCTCTTCCATATTTTCTCATCTTTTTAACAAGAACCACAAATCACTCAGTTGTTCATTTACACAGTAGTCAGCCTTGGTTGCTCTTACTTTCATATCTGACATCTAGTGCATCAATTATTTTAACTATGTAATCAAAACGTGTCCCAAAAGTGACCATGTGTCCTGGGCTCCTTCATTGCCTGAACTACTCCCAACCACTCTGCTCTGTCACATCACAGAAGCAGTTTCCTAACTGGCTTCATGCTTTCTTCCCAACAGGCTTTTCTTTTTTCTTTTACATTTTGTATTTTTGTTTTTATTCTTTATTGTTTTATTATTATATTTTAAGTTCTGGGGTACATGTACAGATCATACAGGATTATTATATAGGTATACACATGCCATGGTGGTTTGCTGCATCCATCACTCCATCATCTACATTAGGTATTTCTCCTAATGTTATCCCTCCCCAATCTCCCCACCCCCTGCTATCCCTCTCCAGTCCGTCTTCCCCTACAATAGGCCCTGGTGTCTGATGTTCCTCTCCTTGTGACCATGTGTTCTCATTGTTCAACAACCACTTATGAGTGAGAACATGTGGTGTTTCGTTTTATGTTCTTGTGTCAGTTTGCTGAAAATGGTTTCCAGTTTCATCCATGTCCCTGCAAAGGACATGAACTCATCCTTTTTATGACTACATAGTATTCCATGGTGTATATGTGCCACATTTTCTTTATCCAGTCTATCATTGATAGGCATTTGGGTTGGTTCCAAGTCTTTCTTATTGTAAACAGTGCCACAATGAACATACATGTGCCTGTGTCTTTATAGTAGAACGATTTCTAATCCTTTGGATATATACCCAATAACAGGATTTCTGGGCCAAGTAGTATTTCTATTTCTAGATCCTTGAGGAATAGGCACACTGTCTTCCACAATGGTTGAACTAATTTACACACCCACCAACGGTGTAAAAGCATTCCAATTTCTCCACATCCTCTCCAGCATCCGTTGTCTCTAGATTTTTTAATGATCACCGTTCTACCTGGTGTGAGATGGTATCTTAAGGTGGTTTTGATTTGCATTTTAATGACCAGCTTTTCTACATACCAGTGTGATCCTTTGAAAATGAAAAGCAATTAGGTCATCCCAAGTCCCTTTCCTGTCTTTCACTCATATTTGAGTAATTAATTGAGTTTTACGCTCAGAAGCTTCCTTTTCAGAGTGGTATCCAGAACAGCAGCATTAGTATTCCTTGGAAGCTTGTTAGGAATTCAGAATCTCAGGCCCTGCCCCAGACTTCCTTAATCAGAGTCTGCAGCTTAACAAGATTCCAGATGGTTTATATGCACAACTAAGTTTCAAAAGTGTGAGACAAGAAGGTCTTGCCTGCACGATCTCACTATGTCTTGCCTTTTTGACATCATCTCCTTCGATTCTCTCTCTGGGTCACTGGTTTTATTGCTTCTTTTCAAACCACCAAGTTTATTCACCTTGGGATCTTCATACAAATTCAGTCTACTTGCAACATTTTCCCTCCAGATCTTTCATATTATTAACTTCTCTGTTCATGTTACCTCCTCAGAGAGGCCTTCACTGGCTTTCCTTTTTTCAACAGTACGCCCGTCCAGCTTTACTCAGTCCGCTCCTTGCGGTAGCTGTTACAATTACTTGAAATTATGTTTTTTATTTAGTTATTTGCTTTCCATTCTTTCCCCCAACTCCCCGGGAAATAAACACTCTGAGGCCAAATAAATTGTCCATATGAAACAGTTCCTGATAAGGAGTAGGAGACTAACATTTATTTATTAAATTAATGAATAAATAAACGAGGCTGGGATTAGACATTGGTCACTATGGTGAACCAGACAGTTGAAGGTTGCAGACTTAATGGAAATACATTGACAGTGGAGAAAAATAAACAGTAAGCAATCAATTAATATGAGAAAATTACAAAAGTATGAGAAGAATTCTAAGGTAGGAGTATGTGGAAAAGAAGGCAGGATTGTAGTAAATGTCAGGCGTTATGGACTAATCACCCATTAATAGACATGTTAATTAGCAAAGAATTTTCTTAAGTTCTTGGTCTTTCTATTTGGGCTGAGATAGTTCTACTGACATCCTTCAGGGTAAAGCGAAATGCCATTTATTATAATGCTTTCTCTATAAAAATCACCCCTTTGTTAAGAAGTATACTTATGAACCGATTTTTTTTTTCTTTTTGGAAAGTGCTTTTACTTTTAAAAAGATAAAATTAAAAATTGATCTAAATTCAGGAGGTAAGTTGATGTTTTTCTGTGTATAAAATCAGAGTCATACACAGAAAAGGTTTGATATTTTTTACTATGAAAAATTAAAGTTTCTATGTTAAAAAACTACATAAACTATTAAATATTTTCTGTAACAGTAAGAAATAAGAATAAATTCTATTTAATAGTTTCTAATGACAGAATTTTGAAATACCAAAGAATTAATGTAAAAAGAAATACAGATGATTTATATGAAAATAATTGCAAAATATTAGAGGCTTATTTTAGGAAGCTTAAATTTACAAAAAGATAAACTATGTCCCTGGATGAGAAAATTGGACTTCATAAGAGAATCTCCACCAAACAAATGTGTATGTTTAATATAATCTCAATTAAAATCCAAGAGGCATTTTTCTAGGAGGTCGACAAATTGATTCTGAGGTTAATATGAAAAATTGGGCAAATATAAAATTGTGAAGAATTGGAAAAAAAATAAAAATTTATTACAATTGTGAGTTAAGTAGGTTCTTGTTCATCTCTGTAATTGAATGCTTGGTAAATAAGAAATATTTTGGAAGAATCATGGCAGGAGAAAATACATGCAGCAAGTTTTCACAATTTTGATATTTACTAAGGATTTACCATGGGCTGGCCTAGATGCTTTAAGTTTATTAACTCATGTTTAATCTTCACTATAATTTTATAAAGTGCACTTATCATCATCTCCATTTAATAAGTGAGGCTACTGAGTTACAGAAAGGCTAAATCACTTGCTGAAGGTTACACAGCCAATGGCTAGGATTTGAATCAAGGAAGTGTGATTCCAGAACCCATAATCACTATATAACACTGCCTGTAACTAAGCAGCAATTCATCTATTGTTCATTCTACGAAGTTTTATTCTTTCTTTTTGATCTTGGGCAATACTAGACAGCCAATGGGCTCTACCTACAAGGGAAAAATAATATTGTAATAAGACAGAAGAATCCATAATGTCTAAGTGGATTAAAGTGGTACCTGTATGACTCCTGGGTCCGTTTCTGAACTCTAATTGAAATGAGTGATGCATATTTAGATCTAGTTAGCATTTGCATATAAACATTTTGCAAAATATCATTATCTCCCCCAATTCCAAGAGGTGCATACATTGTATGGATTTGTGTGGAATGAAGATATTTCCTTTTAAATTTATTATATACTTTGTAAAATGTATCTGCAGTCAGTAGAATGTGTTACAGAACAAATGAGAAAGTGAAGGAAAACACATTTGGGGTACACAATGAGAAATATATCTTTTTCCTTTATCTGAGAATGTAACATTTTCATTTTTCTGTCTTTACTGGTTAGATGAAAGTTACAGATTATTGCTAAGAGTAAATGGCACATTTAGTGTCAAGAGATGGCCTTCATTTCAACAGGAATGATTGGGGACATGGGCTGAAAATAAAAGTCCTGAATTACTCAGACTCAAGTGCCCCAGTTCACAACAGTTTAACTAGGGCAGTGGCCTTTGTCACATTTGATGACAGATGCTTTTCTA